AGAGTTTTTCCAACGCCCTCCGATTCCATGTGGTGGCACCCAATGCTGTAGCAGTACAAAGTTTCCAAGAAGGTACGGGCGACGACATGTGGGGAGGATATTCTTCTCGAGTTGCTCGATGTAACCGCCAGCGCTCACCTTCAGTCCGGGGTCCACGAAGAAAATATCGGTCTTTCCATTCCAGGTAGGTCCGGTCCATACCATCAGCCCGCGCAGAGCAGTGGTCTCCAGTAGCTATATATGGGTGACTCCACACTAGAAGTTTCGCAGCTGTTTGGAGGTGACATGAATTCCAAAGGTCTTCTCCAGTCAGGCTGCGACTGGAGATGACTTCATATTTTGGTGTACATGAAGGTGAGAGCCAGCTCCTGCTTATAGAGGAACATCTTGGGTATCTTCCGCCCTGGTACTCGTATCCACGTCCTCTGTCTGGGCTGCGAAAACTTTGCTGATATGTGACTCGGTCGAAGTGTCTTTTTTATTGCCCCCCCTGTATATCTGGTGGAGGGCACGTATAAAGCGACGCTTTGTCTGCTCTTTTGCTAATTTCTCACCCTGACATTGCTTGAAACATCTCATATGAGGTTCCCAGCATTATTAAAGCAGGGCATGGAATAAAGGATTTCGAATAAGAAGATACCCATCAAGAAGTTTGTCAGAATAATGGCTTTCTTAGCTATCTTCTTTCTTTCTCGTTTGATAGGGCGCTATCAGAGTGACGCGGAACTTTTAGATTCTGCGGAGCATCCAACTTCTTCCCTTGTAGGCTCAGATAAAAATCCTCATCCACCGGATTGCTTCTTCGCACTTTTCATTTTTTTGAACCTCTACCCGTTGGAGTAGCATCCAATGGCGTTAGTATATTCATTTTCTATACCTGAACTTACTGAATCACATCGAAAGAAAGGTACCCAACCACAGTCAATCAACTACGCGGGATACTGTTTCGGCGAGGAGCAGATGAGGAGTCTCCCGCTGCTCGATACCCTTCCACAACCCCAACCCCCCCCCCAATAACGTGAGCGTCTTACCTTGTTCTGGTACAACACAATAGTGCCGGCGGCAGAAAATTCTAACGCGCTCCACACCTCCTAGGCGGCTGTGGGCCCTTCTAGTAACCAAGCTCTGCGTGAGCCAGGTCAGAACTGCCGTCTTTTCAGCGGGAATTTAGGGAAAACGGAAGTATTATGTAATTCCGGCTGAGATGCTCATCATCAAACCACCTGGTGCTGGCCCAAAGGGCAAAGGGCACAATAAACCTCCTAGTCCATGGAAGATCAATACACCGACCATCAAAGAATACCGCGACCTGTGGTAGCCAGTGTCTTTTCAACAGAAAGCTGCTGCAAACATCCCAACATCCCATCAAGGCTAAACATACACATTTCCTCCAACAACGACAAAGCCACAACTAGCCACAGCGAACAGCAATTGATCACGATCGGATCGGCTATTTTCACGCGAGATCTCCGGCTAAATGTCGCTATTTTCCCTTGAAGTTTTTTCTGAAGAATCATAGTTCTCATTAGAGACGACAATGGTTTTCTTTGGTACAATGCAAGATTTTCTTGCAAATAGTGCCCGCTCTAGAGTTCGAGACCAATTTACTTCTATGAACTTTCTCACATGATTCCAGCTAATTACGACAGCCGCTTCGTGTAAATATCACAAACACGTTCGCCCTCCTGTTAAGGACCCCTTCTGATATTGTCGCAGAATTCGCTACTGTTTCAGATAGTTAGTGTTTTTTCATATTTCCTTTGTAGACGCCGTGATTTTTCACATTTATCGTTGACCACCGATGATTGGTCTCAGGCGTAGACTCGTACACTTTCTGAATGGAGCGTTGACGATGGCTGTATCCCGGGCGTTTTCTTTACTGTCGTACTACTCAGTACCTCTGCTCCCGCCTTCTGCAGAGAACCAAATCAACGTACCCATGCCTTATTGTTAAAAGTCGACTGGAATGCACACTTAACGGCAGTAAAATGTAAGCAGTATGGTCCAAATGCGTGATTTTACATGCCAAGGTAATTTCGCGAAAAGGAAAAAAGGCGAAAAATGAGCCGTCCCAGTCAGGGTTTCCACGCAATACGAATTAGCATTGACTAACTTGCGAAAAAAATTGTGGGACCCTGGGCATTGACATGTAGACGAGTGAAACCAGAGGGAGTAGAAATAAACGAAATAAAAGGTACCAGCGTGCACAGTGACCACATACATTCCAGAAACAGAAGGGCACGATGGGCGTACCCAGGGAACACTAGGTCCTCAGGGCAGTTTCGAGCTGCAGAGCTAGTACAACCCTTGCGGAGGCAGATACTCAACCTCAGCAGGGACTGTCCCTTTCCACAGGGCACGAAATATCTTTCGAACTGGGGCGCAACATTCCGTAGAAGATGTTGTAATGTAGGATGTAGACGTAATGTAGGATGTAGACAATTACTCAACTTCCACCCAGTTCGTAGGCACACTGTTAGGGAGAAGACGGCACATCCATGCGAGTTTATGGGCAAGGCAAAGGCCCGTGTTAGGAATGTCGTCAGGTCTTCGTAAATATCAAGCAGAGCCCAGAGAGTTGTGGCTTTTGATTGACGAAGACCTAACGCAAAATAAAACGTTACTGTGTAGAGACCAATGCGCATAAACGTCAATCACTAGCCTTCAACACGATCACGCAAAGCGATAACCCACGTAAAAGAAACATGCATCAGATGCCATCCAGTTCTTTTGCACTAAATCGTTTGAGTTGAACATGAAAGTCGATATTAGGGCGACGAAGAATTAATACCTTAGGGAGTTAGCTAAAACAGTTTTGCTGTAGCTGATAAGGAAGACAAAAAGCAGCAAAGGCGGTAACCGTTAATGTTGAAAACAACGAAATTCGTGAAGTGAGGCAGTGCGGGTGCAGAACGTTGTTTTGAAAAGGAAACCCGGCCAAAATGTTTCGTAACCGCTTACGGTGGCAGCGCCAAACATCCATTGAGGAATCCCTGAGAGGTGGTCGCATTTGTATAGCTAGGAAGGGGTCGTATTTCTTGGAGTGAATAGTCAACAGTAGTCTTTGAAATGAAGACGAATAGGAATCTGAGTGAAGGTCGAGTGTGTGGTGCACCCCATGGCTGAGTTCACCGATCGTGCTGGGTTTCAACTCACTTAAACCCTAGGCGTAGGTGTTCTGCAGCCATTGGAAAGGAGGGCTTGTGAACAATGAAGTAGGATTACTCGATTTCACGGCTGAAAGCAACACTTCGCAGCAGAGAATCTCCATGGGTTGCTTAACTGTAACAATAATTTGAGGAAACTGAGAAGCGCAAATTTCCTAGTTTTATGGAGTTTTCACTTCGCCTCTAAAAAATAGGATGCCGCGACAAACCCTGCCCCCTCAGGCCCCA